TGCTCTGTTTAGTTCCAGCCCTTCCTCCATCTTGATTCTAGGCACCATGAATAAACAAACCATTTCTCCTTTTGTCACTGAAATGAACTGGAAATGTTTGGTTGCTTTAAATCATTAGAAAAATAGAAGCCCTCCAGATGCTGCTAGACTAAAAGGATCATGATCTCTTGACATTTGACTAGGCTAGATAGGACAGATGGGAGTTGCAGTTCAACAACATATAGTGGGCCACAAGTTGCCCATCTCTATTCTAAATGCATCAAAAAGAAAAATACTTTTTTAGGGAAATATATCCCAAAACCAGTACTGCATTTTCATATTCAGAATCAAGAAAACTCCAGTCAGCTTGAAAATGGATGGCTGACTTGAGAACTCAAGGTTCTAGCACTCTGAATTACTGTGCTAGTAAAAATGTTGCCTTGCTTTCTCTGTATATTTTTCTCCTTGCCTGACCTACAGCACTGAGGACATTTAAACTGATTTTAAAAAAGAAAAAGATTCCCAAGATTTCTTTCTATTTTTAAAAATTAGGTGCTAGCATTGTACATATTATGTTTGTTTCCCCCCCCCCTTTATTTTTTACTTCAGAGGCTAAAACTCCTCTCACTCCCAGCCTTTGTGGAAATCTGGCAGCAAGAAACAAGGGACAGAGTTAATGCATCTTATCATGTTAACATCTGCATTCACCGGAACCCCTGGAACACTCTGTGTATAGCCATAACGTCTCTAGGGGATTCCAACAGTCGAGGGAGGCAGGGCCTCCTCTCCTTCCCAGGGAGTCTGGCATGGGAGACCCTTAGAATAGATACTGCAGAGAAGCATAGAGAGACAAAAAATATGGAACATCATTGCTCTCCACAAAGTATCGTTTCACAATCCTGTGTCTCTAGGGAAGTTTCTTGGAGATAAGCTTTGCAGTGCCAATTGGGCTCTCTGTTAAAACTACAGATTGGATGGGGTTGGGATTAAGATCCTTGAAGGAAAATATATTTTTTTTTACAGTTTGGGAAAGTTATTATTGCACTACAACTCCCAGAAATCCATGCTGCATGTGTGATTCTGGGCTGGGGTGGGGGTGGGGGGTTAGTCCAAACAAAAATACTACAGTCCACCCGCCCCATATGCAGGTATGTGGGTTGAGCTCACATGGACGGCAAGTCCAGGGGACAAAATGGCACACGCGGGAATTCACTGCCATTAAAATCAACAGGACTTGAGGTCCCATTTTTTTTTACATACGCCGGGAGTCCAGAATGGATCCCCCACGTATACAAAGGACCCACTGTATTTCCAAACTTCAACATCGTTTGAGTCTCACTGATACCTTTATGAATGAGAGTAAGAGCTTCAGCAGCCCCCTACAGCAAAACAGATATGGATTACTGAGTCCAGAGCAAAGTTTTGGAATTCATAATTCTACAGAATGTCTGCTTCAGGGATTAAGATTAAGCACTGGTGTTGCAAAGTGTTCTATGGGACATCCTGTTTCTGTGGAAATACCTGCTCTAGAAAGGCCATCTTCCTGTGTTATTCTGGAGTTTTGAAATCCCAAATCTGATAGGGCTCCCACAGGGCTAACATGCCCTTCCTACCTATCTGTTGTTGCTTCATCCAAAGAGATCCATGTTGTGTGTATTATGCTTTTATCAGGCTTGCCCATTTCATCCTTTAAATGGGGCTGAGAATTTCATGGCTGAACAGACACGTGAATCTGAAGCTTCCAGAGTCACATACAGACTTCTCCTGTAAACTATTACAAAATAAAAACCCCTCAACATAACATCATACAGAGGAGTTGCCTGTGATAAGGCAACACACAAACACTGTGCCACACACAAACACGTGGGGCATAACATCCAGCAATATCCATAACTACCAGTAGCTGGAATGACTAAAACATGGTTATGCATTTATGATGTGACAATGAAATAAACTTGTTCTACATCAAATGAGAAAGCAGCTCATTTTGCAATGAAGTGAAAAACATGCAATAATAATGCATCACTTCTGTAGGGTCCAGAAGGCAGCATGATCCTCTACACAATACACTAATTTCTCTGTTACTATGAAAGATGATTTTGAATCTGTATGTATTAATGAAAATATTTTTCATATGTTGAAGCAAGTTCAGCCTCTAAATATATTGTAATGTTCAGGCATTAAAATTTTGTAAACACTGGGAAAGATGAGCAATGTAGAACCAAGAAAGCTGGCACACTGCTACTCAAGCCAAATCTTAAAAAAGTTACTTTCGGTACTAAAATTCACCAATGGCATGCTAGCTGGAGGATTGCAGGACTTATAGTTCAAAATGTATTTTTTTCCAACAACTAAGTGCATATTGTCCTCAAATATATTTGTCTATGTGAATAAATGGATTAACATCAATAACATGCATTGTGAGGGACAAAGTACAAATTGTTTTTACAGAAAATAAATATGGTTGAGGGCAGAACATTCTTTCTCAAAAGAGAGGTATGGAGGCCCAAGGTTACTGGAAGGAATTGTTGCTGCTTGCCCTCCAGGTGTGAAGAAACAATTGTGGAACTTGGAGCTAAGAATAAAACACCTTACTTATACTTAATAAACGTTCTCCTTCGCTGTTATGTCCCATATCTCAAAATCATGGTCCAAGTTTTGCAAACAGATTATCATGCTGAGTTCTATCATTAACCAAGCCCCTGGCTGGATATTATGCTTTAGTTAAACAACCATTGTGAAGTCTACAGACGCAAGTAGTGGACAGCACTGAAACCAATACCTGTTGATTTTATGGACGAGAAAACATAGCAAATCAGATCCTGGAATGTAGTGTATAAACACAATGAACAAGCAATATACATATGTCACAATTTCACGAATGCCAAAAAGGGAAGTGTAACAGATGGCTCCTGTTTAAACAGGAATACCAAGGCATAGGACAACTCTTTACTAGCACCTTTCCCGACTACTTCCAATTATGCTACTCACATTGGCTTGTATGTTGTGGCTAAGTAAGATTCATGTAAGTCAGAAGCATATCAGCAGATGATATCCAGTTCTGGGCACCACAATTTAAAAAGGATATTGAAAAGCTAGAGCATGTCTGGAGGAGGGTGACTAAAATGGTGAAGGGTCTGGAAACCATGCCTTATGAGGAGAGACTTAGGCAGCTGGATATGTTTAGTCTGGAGAAGAGACGGTTAAGAGGGGATACGATAGCCCTCTTTAAATATTTGAAGGGATGTCATATTGAGGAGGGAGCAAGCTTGTTTTCTGCTGCTCCAGAGAATAGGACTCGGAACAACGGATGCAAGCTACAGGAAAAGAGATTCCACCTCAACATTAGGAGGAACTTCCTGACAGTGAGAGCTGTTCGACATTGGAACACACTCCCTTGGAGAGTGGTGGAGTCTCCTTCTTTGGAGGTTGGATGGCCATCTGTCAGGGATGCTTTAATTGTGGGTTCCTGCATGGCAGGGGGTTGGATTGGATGGCCCTTGTGGTCTCTTCCAACTCTATGCTTCTATGATTCTACACAAATCAGAAGATTTGGACAAAATTAGATACAATAAGTCATAAACTAGCTTAAAATGATTACAACAAATATATATTTTACATCACACAAAATATTTTTATATTTAAATAATACATGAATATTTTGTTTGGGAACTGTGCAGCTCTTCAAATGTTGGTGGACTGCAATCCTCAGCAGCCCTAACCAGCACAGCAAATGGTGAGGAATGTTGGGAGTTGCCATTCTATAACATCTAAAAGGCTGCACAATCCTCCTCCCATCTAAAAGACTGTTGTTGCTATGTGCCTTCAAGCCATTTTCAACTTATGGTAACCCTACCATGGGATTTTCTTGGCATGTTTTGTTCGGGGGGGGGGGAGTGTCTTTGCCTTACTCTGAGGATGAGAGTGTGTGTCTTGCCCAAGGCCACTCAGAAGGTTTCCATGGCCAAGCAGAAATTTGAACCCTGGTCTCTAGAATCATAGCCCAATGTTCAAACCACTACACCATGCTGGCTCTTCATTTAAAAAATAGCATCACTTAAAAGAAAGCCCCCAAAAGGTAACAGTTCCACTATATTTTTATGCAGTGAGAAATGCTTTGGCTTTAATTCAGCAGCTGTGCTGAATTTTAATCAGGACTGGCTCAAAATATTTTTCTAACCTGAGGTGAAGGACAAGATGACATTCCTCTCTTCGTGTTCCTAGCATAGAACACAAATGGACTAGCTGTTCAATCTTTTTTCAATACTCAGGACAGTCAGAAGTGCTTCTCTAGCACAATATATCTCAAGCTATCTAATGTGGGGGACCAGTAATTCTCCCCCAACCCACACGCCAAGGACCAGTATCATATCTGTGTCCATTCACTACTATTGTTTCTTTCTCTCCTGGAAACTTACCAGGGAGGGGGAGCCAGGAACACCTGCAAATTCTGGCTGTACATAGGTATCTTCTTTCTGCTGAACAGACCAGAAGAGTAAGAGAAGAAGAGGTTGTCTAGATTCCACCCCTACAGTGATTTATCCAACCAATACTTAGTGCTGTTTGTATTCTTTGTTACTGATACAAGTCCACAACAAATGTGCCATGGTCCACAGCTAGAAAAAATAATGTTGAGACTCAACTTAGATGAACAGATCTCCCTCACTATCAGGCCAGGTGAAATAACAGATGCCTTCTAGAGAGCCTTCCCTTACCCTGTAGGGAATATGTGAGCTGTTCCCTTTTCTATAGGGCTGGTGCCAACTCCTCTGCTCTGTTTAGTTCCAGCCCTTCCTCCATCTTGATTCTAGGCACCATAAATAAACAAACCATTTCTCCTTTTGTCACTGAATTGAACTGGAAATGTTTGGTTGCTTTAAATCATTAGAAAAATAGAAGCCCTCCAGATGCTGGTAGACTGGCACTGGTCTATGGACCACCACTTTGAGTAGCACTGCTCCAGTGCACCTCAGGCCGGAAGGCTAGTGGCATGGGTATGAAGGGTGGAGGCTAGGGAATCTCTGTCCTCACTGCCACTCACTCACCCTACTTGATCCCTACTCAGTTAGCAATACAGCAGCCATAGCACCAACACAGGACACATGAGCAGAGCTCCAGTCCAGAGCATAGGAAGCTGCAAGTCAGAGCACTTGACTAGTCCAATATTATTTGCATCACCTAGCAGCAGCTCTCTGGGTTTCAATGACTGGTGTTTCCTAGCCTTACCTGGAGATACCACAGGGGATGAACCTGGGACTTTCTTCCCTGCAGAACAGGTGTGCTAAGAAACAGCCCTCCCTAGGATGCTTGTCTAGGCCGGCTGCTTCTTTTACCTGTTTTCACAATTAGAGGACTTTCTCAGCTGCCTGGAAGAAGGCAACTAGGCAAGTCAAGAAGGATGGCCCAGGCCAACTACTGAAGGGGCAGTCCCCTTCACAAGACTGGAATTGACCATGGGTTTGGAAGAAAAGGCCTGCATCAATGCTTCTGCCCCTGCATTTCACCCTCACTCTCCCCAATGACTGGGCTTGCACAGGATTTTATGGTCATTTCCACTTTCTGCTTTTATTTCTAGTCCTCATGTGCTTTAGTGCATTTGCCATATTAAGGCAAGCAGAGTCTACTTTACTACTAAAGTTCACTTACTAGGATAGGCATATATATAGTGTGACCATTTTATTTTGGGTTGCAGATCCATACTGTTAACTGAGTTAACTGAGCAATCAGGCAGGGAATGCTGGTTGTTTTCATTTCACAGAGAATGAATAAGATCTGCCCATACACAAATGACATCAATATATTGCAAATAAGCATTTGGCTTCTCTGGAACGATGACTCATGAGCATAAATATCTTCCTCTACATAACCTTTCAATCCCTTAATGCCAGCCAGAGCAAAAGCAGACTGAGATTTGCTCTTCACACAGCAATGGTACACTGAATCTATAGGCATTAATAGGCAGCATCATTTCTGACTGCATCATTCTGGACAGTGTGGGAAAGACACAAAAGGGGTTCAATGTGTCACCAATGTCATTCTGCTCCCAGGAACTAGTTGATCTGCAATGGCTTTTGCTCTCTTTTGCCTGCACAGAATGAGCCATATGCATGCTTTGTCTCAAGAAAGTCTATGCTGTGGTTGGGGAGCTTGTAGTTCTCCAGATGTTGAGAAGTTGCTACTCCCATCATTCCTCACAACTGCCTAGGCTAGCTGAAACTGATGGGAACTGGAGTCCAACAACAAATGGAGGACCACAAGTTCCCTAACACTGCTGTATACTAAAGAGAACAAACTAGTTTGTGTTACTAAAATGTTACAACTGATAGGAAAAAGGAGAACAACTGCTTTTCCACTATGAAAAGTTTGGATGGAGAGTAGAATTAATTCATTCTGCTCTGCCAAGACTCTAGAATGGATTGTAGCATCCATGAAAAAAGCTCAAGCGTGTTTCTTAAGTGTCACGTATGAAAACACCCTCCAGTCTCCATCTCTCTAGTGCCAATTTTTTGCCCCCCATATCTGGTTTAATGAAAGTTTAGTCTGAAAGAAGCCAGGGAAATGCTCCAAGCAAGACAATGGAAAACTGTCACACAAAGACAAGAAGAGTACTGTTCTGAACAAGAAAAATCCTGAAACATTTGTCAAGTAAGGTTTAGGTACAATTAATCCTGCTTGAGTGGAGAGATTTGGAATGGATGACCCCTGAGGTTCCATCCAATCCTATGGCTTGCAACAATTCAACAATTCAATCTTTTATTACAGCCATTCGGCCAGCATATATGGCTTGCAACATGAAAAAAAAAATAGAGGGAAAATATATGAGACTCAAAGAGCAGCTCCAGGGTTTCTTCCTCTCCCTGCCCGCCCCACTATCCCCACCCTAGAGAAGCTGAAAGGGCATGAGACCATTTGCAGCCTGCACTAATAGTACATGGCTATTGAGTAAGGTTGTCAAGGCAGGACATAATATATATGATGCAACCATACTTCCCCCAAACCCCATGTAATGCATACCCTGACAAAATTGCATATTATGTTACCCTGACAACTATGAGACATGAAAGGGGGAGGTTCAAATTTTGCTTAGAATGCTTTCACTTTACCATTGTAGTACAGCAGGGTTGTTTTTTCTTGTCCTTGTGAACAGGAATATTGAAAACAATTTGCACCCCTGTAGTGTGTGCTGACCCTTATTCAGGTGATTAAAGACAACACAGATTGTCCTTCTGGAAAAAAATGGAATCCTTCAGGATTCTGCATTCAAAAAAACAGATGATCAGTCCCTATTCACATATTAAGATTCATTGCTTAATGTAAGGGGGCAGAGAAATCAGAAGTAGCAGAAGCAGTTCAAAGACTGTTGTAGCTCCCACCAAAACTATGAACCTCACAGAACATATGAGTAGCTGGTAGTGAGGGCATAAAACTCTACCCTGAAAATAAGTCTTGCTGTGTGGCCAGGCTTCTGTGTCTTGGAAGGAAGGAGGGAAAGCTTATATCCCCATCTCAAAAAACCAAAGCAGAAATGAGCCCTATAAATTTTGGAAATTCAAGCAGTATATGAACAGATAGTGACTAAAATCGCTGAAATGTGTGTGTGTGTGTGTGTGTGTATTGCAAATCTGCAGTTAGTACCAGAGGTTCTATGACTTTCAAAGTGGGTTGATTCCTATATTAAATCAAACATTTGATTTAATTTAGATGCATACTAGAAATTTAGAAGCATATTATCAGGAGGGTGGGTGGTCTTCAGAATGTTGTTACTGTGTGTCTTCAAGTCATTTCTGACTCATGATGATCCTAGGAAGATGCTCTCACAGGTTTTCTTGGTGAGATTTATTCAGAGGGGTTTGCCATCGTCTTCCGCTAAGGCTGAGAGAGTGTAATTTCCCCAAGGTGACCCAGTGGGTTTCTACGGCTGAGCGAGGACTCATAGTTCAATCTCCCACAGTCCTTCATAACACTATCACAATGGCTCTCCTCTCCAATGGCTCTCCTCTTGTACAGGAAAGCAACAACTTTCTACTGCACATTCTGACCACTCAAAAGCAAACATCACAAGAATGACTGGTCATCTCTAAGTTCTACTTCTCTCTTTGCTGTTCTGGACTACCTTTCCCCACAAACCACTAGGTCACACTGACATCAGGGCTGCTTCTGTTTCATGCGGTGTTTACAGCCTGCTAATAACTTCTCCCTCTGCTCAGAAGCACTCTCAGGATTGCAGTTGGCATACAGCAGCACATGTTGTAGATGAACTGAACAGATGTTCAAATCTGGCAAGCAGCTGACTGACACTGTACTTGTTAGCAGAGGATAACCCCCACAGATTTTGGGGTGAAGAGATAACATCTCCAACAAAGCTGAAATGAAGAATACACATACCACTCATCAATTTCAACCGTACAATGAAAATGCATACAGCAGTGTGTGGGTTCTCTCTCCTCCCAAGAACTGTATCATGCAAGACATGATGTTCTATGAAGAAGTGTCTGCCATTTGATAATGCTATGAAACAAACTTGTAGCAGAATTAGTTATGATAAATGGAGATAACTTTTGATATATCTATATACATCAAGAAGCTACCTCCAGGTGCATTTTACTGTTACTTATGCATTAATTACATGTGAAAAATTACTCAAAGGTATCATGCAATTTTCATTAAATTTCAATGAAAAAAGCAGATAGTATCTCGGCCATCAAAAGACAGCCATCCTGCTCCCCCCAATTCGGCTGTAGCTATTGTTATTTGTTTCTTTGTTTCTTTGTGTTATTTTTTAAATTTGTTTTAAATCGTCATTTTTAATTTGTATTTTAAGAGGGGGGTGGGATTGTGGGATACGGAATTATATTTTAAAGTTGTAAGCCACCCCGGTTGCATTACGCAGAGGGGCAGGATGAAAATAATTTTTTTTAATTATAATTATAATTATTATGGTTTATTTCTTTTTTTCTGAGAAAATTAGGGTTTGTGAATGAGTCCCAACATTAGATTCACTAATGACAAAACCAAAAGAGGGATCTGGGGAAA